GAGGGAGGGAGGGAGGGAGGGAGGGAGAAGCAGAAACCAACATTAGGTCATGCCCTTTCCTTCACCTTGTTGCCCGAATGCAGAATTCCCTACCCAGGGTTAACGTCCAGAGTCCTCCTAATTTGCAAGTGAGAAAAGAGAAAGGCTCAGCACGCAAAGGGACCAAGAGAAGCAGTCCTTCTCCAAGGGGTGGAGAGTCCCAGCCACAAAAGCCAGGGGCCAGCGAAACTCCACAAAAGGCTCTGCTTACCAGAGCCTTCCTGCTCCTGCTGTGGAGGACCAGCCACCATCAGCCCCCACAACTCTTTGGTATAACACAATGGCTTGGAGTAAAAGGCTCCTCGGCTTTCTGAAGGCTGGAGTTAAAGCTTTGCTTGCAAGATGAGAGGAAAGGACTCAATTCACCACGTTGGACAGGCAAGCTTTTTCATCCTCCAGAACACTTAATCAGACAGGTTGGCGAAAAAGGCAGAAAGGAAGAATGCTGTGGATTTTCCACTGAGATGGGATGTGGAAGAATGCCCTTTTTGCAAACAGGTTGCAGAAGATGGCATCTTCACTGGCCAGGTTGGCTTTGTTAAGAGCCACAGGGATCAGATAACATGGAACTCTCAGTTACTGAAACTGCTGTGTAAAACTTCATATGCACAGTATAGACATAGGTACAGGTACGCATGATACCCCAATGGCATATATTACTTATTTCTGCACTTCATAGGCCAGTAAGCAGTATATTCAGTTAACTGGGGCATCTGACTCCCACAGGTAAATAGCCCCTTCAAGAGTACAGTAACCATCTTGGAGTTCTTATGCTGAGTGAAATTTTGCAGTATGAATAAGATGTCTAAGGAGAGCTCTTTGGATTATGACAGAGGGCAGTTTTAAAGATTAACTTTTGGGGTAAGGTTAATATTCTTAAAATAAACATAGAATGTTATAGACATTGCATGAATTCATACACACACACACACACACACACACACAGAGTGAGGGAGTGAAGTTGGGAAGAGGAGCTGCACCCAGGCAGAAACGCCTCTCACCCCATTTCCCTCATTCATTCATTCATTCATTCATTCGTTTGTTCGTTCGTTCGTTCGTTCGCTCGCTTGCTCACAACAAGCATCCAAGCCCAGTCACTGAGCCACCCCCTGGCGTTTCCAAGGACATGCCCACGTCCAGAGGCAGCCTCACCCCACCCAGGCTCTTAGCTTGCAAGGCTGATCCAGCCTCACTCCACCCAGCAAGGTTAGGACAGAGTGGGGTGTGCGTGCGTGTGGGAAAACAGGAGATGAGCAAAGGGGAAGCGGAGGCCACGTCTGGAGACTGGCGGCTGTCGCAAGCAGGCAAGAGGAGCATCGTTCAACGGCCAGGACCACATGTTGTGGGCGGCGGCAGCAGCCTATCCTGGGGGGAGTCCTGCCTGGAGCTTGGAGCTTTGCCGGGGGCTCAGTAGCAAGAACCACCACCCTGAAGCAGCCTGTCATTCCAACTAGAGTAAGAACGTTTGGAAGGGTGCAAAGGTTGTATGCTACTTTATAGACTTATAAACTTTTGCTTGAACTAAGAACTGAGTGTTAAAAACATATTTACATGGCAATATCACTTGGCAAGGCATAGAAGGGCAAAGAGCAATAGTTCATCGTTGGGGAAAGTGTGTGCTGCAATAAAACACTTTGTACAGATTTGCTACGCTGTGGTGTGTCTAGTCCTTGGAAAGCAAACCACACAAACACATCTGCAGAATATTTTCCAACATTTAATACAAAGTTTTATAAACTGTTGTGGGGATTATCTTTTAAAAAGATGTAGCTGTCTATTAAAGAGGGAGAATTTGGTTTTCCACATCTTGAATTAGCCATTTTGCATATCTTTTAGCTAGTACTAAATTTTGCATGACCCCTTAGTGGAAACTCTTCTTCTAGGGGCCCCTCTAGAATATTCATATAATGCACCTTAGTTGGTTGGGCTGTCTTGGGATTAAAATGAAATAGATTTCAAGTAATTCCTCTTCATGGTACATTATTTCTAAGAAACTGCATTTTGAGGATGAGGATGATAATGCCAATTATTCGGGCGGAAGACAGGATTTATATTTTGGATCTGCTGGTAGATGAAAATGGCCATTTTTTAATCTCTCTCCCCTCTAAAGGACAAATATTATTTGCCTAGACTGGTTCTGCTACAGCATCTACCAATTCTCAGTTTGGAGCTGTGGTGTTTTCACTCTTGGAAGCGGCTGATCTACAAGTGATTATTAAATCCTACAACACAAACTCCCCTGTAGTTACGCTTTATAAATTTCTGTTGGTGAGGAATCCATTTGATACGCAAGCTTTAATGTAATTAAGAATTACAAAAATTTCCCATTTTCCCTAGGTGTTTCCCTGGGAAAAGGCATTAGCATCAATACCAAAAATCTCAACAGAAGCTACACTTTATCCAACAAAAAATAATCTATTTCAGACTTACTGGAATCCATTGCATTTATATAGAAAAAATGTGTGTAATATTCATTTAATTAACCTGTGCACTGCCTCAATCATAAGGACAACTCTAGATGGCTTACATATTTCTAGCATGCTGGAGATGCAGTGAGATTAATTTTTTACTTAAATACAGGGTGTCCCAAAAGTCTTAGTACAGTTTTAAACTTTAAAACTCAATCTTGAGACAAAATTTAATATCAGATTCTTTTGAGCTATATTCTTATTGCATGGAAATTGGCATCTGGACAAAGAAGTAGATTCTGTGTGTCTTAGTTAAAGCTAAAAAATGTATTCTTCAGCACAGGGAAGATAAATACAGGGCCTCAGCTATTCAACAGCTTGCAGAATTGATGTTGTTAGCAATTTGCAACTCATACCCTGGTCACCTCCGGGTTGGACTACTGTAACGCGCTCTACATGGGGCTACCCTTGAAGAGTATCCGGAAGCTACAGCTGGTGCAGAATGCGGTGGCGCAGACAGTTCTCAATGCCCCTAGAAGGACACATGTAACACCGCTGTTGCGTGAGCTGCATTGGTTGCCAGTTTGTTTCCGTGTCCAATTCAAGGTGTTGGTCATCACCTTTAAAGCCCTTTATGGCACAGGACCAGGTTATCTAAGGAACCGTCCCGCCCCAGTTATTTCAGCCCGCCCCACTCGGTCCAGCAGAAGGGGCGGGTTGCAGACCCCACCGGTCAAGGAATTTTGATTGGTGGGGTCTAGACAGAGGGCCTTTTCTGCTGTGGCTCCCGCCCCAGGGAACATCTTGCCTCCCGAGGCCCAGTGTGCCCCCTCCCTCATGGCCTTCAGAAAAAGGATTAAATCCTGGCTTTGCCAGAAGGCCTGGGGGCTGGATGGGGGCTCGCATCTGTGGAGATGGCTGGTGGGGTGATGGGTTCTGGCCCCCACCCCCGGCATCTTGA